CTATTGTCTTCCAATGGAAAGTATTAAAGAAATATGATCACCAGAGTATGGTTGAAGGCACTAGCAAAAATAACTTTGGTTCAAGAAGCCACTGGTTTTAGGCTCCCATCGGGCCTTGCTTCTGCCCTTCTAAGATTCTGTGCACGTGAGCAGACACTGTGCACATGTGCAGATGCTGTGCACAAGCAGTCGCTGTGCACATGAGCAAGGATTAGAGCGGTTTCACCTTCACTCAGCTGTCCACCTTCCTGTCTCATTCTGGTTCCATTCTATATTTAATGAAAAACTCAGCACTGTGACATCTTCTTGACCTCAGCTTTATTCCTGAGTCATGATAAGGACACATTCTCTTCTCTCGCTCACTCCAAACCTCAGTAATACTACCTAAATGATAAAAGGCCAGAGCAGTCATTCTGGTTGAATTTCCCAACACTTTTCAAGGGTGCAAGGGAAACCTCAGAGAGACATCAGAAGCACGGAGAGAATGGTGGATTTAGGATCTGACAGGCATGATTAAAGTCGTTTAACAGGTCCATTTGTCACTCACGGAGACTTGGTCTATACAACAGATATCAAGAATGTGGTGATAGAAGGAAACAAATATTCCCACCTTTGTAACCTTCATAAAAATTTCCCCTTGGCATATGCTCACTGTATATGGTATTGGGTTGTATAGCATCATTTTCATACACTTCTATAATTTGCTTTTAGTATATCTACTCATAGCCCCTACTGTCGCTAATCTCCTATCTTTCTTTCAGACCTGGATTTGCTAGGGAAACATGCAGTAGCATCCTGATACCCTGTCTGAGGTCGCATAGTCATCTCTCAGAAAAACAGACAAATAAAAGAATAGAGCAGACAGTGGCCAGCCTAGAGGATACTTGAGAGACATCATGTTCCACGTGCAGAATGATACAGGGAAACCATCTTCCACCCAGGACTGTTGCCCTACTAGTGGGTAATCAGGTACCAACATTAAAAGATAACGTCAGGTAGGTACCCAGTGTTCAACAGTCTTGACATTTTTCCTGGCCCCACAGCCTCACATTTCATGCAGAACAAATGATATGGCAAACCATCTCCTCACATCTAGGACATAATCACTGAGTTCTAGGGAGGAGGATTATGGGTTCTCCAATTCGGAGAGTGCCCTGGGAGAGAACACAAGTTAGAACCATGTTGTAGAGCTAACTTCTAAGAATGCTTATACTTGATGAATTCAGTTTATCTGAGCTCAGAAAAATGGTGTGTAGTGTGGAGGAAAACATTCCAAAGTGACAGAATGGGACCATCAGGGACAAGGCTAAAGAAGATGCCATGCACTCAAAGCTTCTGCTCATCTGAAAACAACCTGTTCTCACTGGTCTCTTGGGCCCCTTCTTTCTCATGGTTCAGTTATCACAACATTGTGCCCTATTCTGATCTAAGTCCCCATGGCCTCTAAAATCTCTTTCACCCTCCATTAGTAAAGGGAAGGAAGGAGTCCTTAGGTCAGTCAGTCTCTCTGGCATCCTTCTTTTTTGGTGCAGAAACTGAATAATGGGAAAGGGTTTTCCTAAAATAGTAAACTCGGCAGAAAACCAAAGGGGATACAAACTGAGGTTTTTGTACCTTTTCTGATTATTTTATAGATATGTTTGAACGTTATTGGTCTTTAAAAAAATCTAGAGCTGGTATTGGCTAAGTAATAGGTGTGTTCTTCGCTGGGGAAGCCTGCCTCTCCCGTGGAGCATTCTTAAGTTGCCTGTAGTCCTTTGTCTAGGGTTGAGACATCATGAGCTTTCCCCCTTTCACAATACTAAGTCTTTTGTTGTTGTTTTTGTTTAGATCAGGTTTAGGCAGCCACACTGGTAAGAAGTTATGGGTGTAGCTTGTGACATTTCTAAGAGACACTGTCTCAAAGCAAACTGCATGCTCATCGGGGTCTTACCACCCTTACACCTCACCTCCTGAAGTGATCCATGAATCTAAGTGGAGAAGAGTGCTGTGAATGTGTCACTTGGGACTGGGTTCCTGGTCTGCATTTTGATTAGTTATAGTTTTTGTAATGGTCTCCTTTAAAACAAATGATAGGAACCATTTGCCACATTTTATAAACTCAGTATTTTATTATTCTTAGAAATGAATTTCTCAGTAAACTTTAAAAAAAACTATAATTCTAGAGTTTATGTGCTCTAGGTGTTGAAGAATAGAGTAGGACCCAGACATGTGTATGCAAATTAAGAGACAAGTAAAAGAAGAGCTAAGGTGGAATCATTCCCAGTTGGTGGAGGTGAGCATGCAGTGTGAAATGACCAGAAGAGTCCTGCTAGGTCACAGTAGGAGCGAGACCTCAACAGGCTCAGGCAAAAGGGTATCCCAAGCCTGCCTGGCAGTGCTGGCATCCCATGCTTGCCCTGCGGTGCAGCTGGCACAGCTAATGGATAACATTGCTACTCGGGTACTACCTAACGTCATGTTGTCCTCTGCATGATGATTCAGTTCTTTCCTAATATTTTTGGTTTCAGGATTCCGTCCAAAATGCCTCATTACCTTGAGCCATCACAATTCTCTTTGCCTGAGAATGGGGCTTTTACACATATTTTAAAAATTAATTCTTGGGGAATTTCATACGTTGTATTTTGATCCCCTTCACTCCTCCCCCTACTCCTCACAGATGAACCCACAGTTCCATAGTCGCCCAAATGTGTACCTTCCTTTGATATATTTGAGCATTTCTTGAGTTTCATACGTGAGTACTGATTTACATCATTTCCAGGAATCCCCTAGCTCCTCCTATATCTCCCTTATTCATTTTCAAATTCATAACCTCTACTTTAATGATTATCATTACATACGCATAATATATATCATAAAACATACATTGTTTTATGTGTGTGTGCACATAGAAATACAACATGTTGAAACCATTTAGTGTTGACCTCAACGATACAGTTTTAGAACTGTCCTGTTTGTGACTGGATAACCTATTAGGGGCCTTGTCTCTGGAGAATATCAATGCTCGTCTTCACAACCATTAATTTCCTGCAGCTCCAAGCACATTAGGGGAGGACATTGTGAGTCATTACGGAATCCATGGTGCTCCCTGCAGTTCCAGCAGGGATTCTGTGCAAGCTGGGGGCTCGGTTGCCTCAAGGGTCACTTCTCAGCATTGGAGCTGTGTTCACATTACAACCACTCGTTCTTCGGGTACCAAATCCATTGCATGTCCCAGTGAATTTCAAGATGTGGATTTAGCAAGTTCCCCATTCACTCTAGAAGACTTTCACCCAAGACAGCAAACAACCAGGCAATGGCCTTGACAGCTGAGAATATCAGAGGTGGGGAAGTGAACAGAGCAAAGAAGTCTGCTTTGACACTGAGGTGAAGGACTGTCATCTTTTGTAGAAGGGGTTAAATTTGGACACTGGTTTGTTGACCTGTTAAAATGATGCATTTTCCAGACCCTGTCTGCCACAAGTCAGCTCACCATAGAAGAGTTCTTCCTGGTTTGTTCTCAAGGGAAGTGCATGGAGTAGGGGAGAAGCAAGCAGGAAGAGGAAGCAACCGGACTTCTTGGTAATGTCAAATCTTGTGACTGGCATCTCTACTGAGGGATGAGTTATCTTCAGGATTGGAGCACAGAGATAAGATTAGGAGGAGCCCAGAGCTCCTAGATTAAAGCCAGCATCCGAGTGTTCTGTTGCATGGCTTAGTGCCTGCATCTTTGTTCTTCCCATGAAGCTTTGCCTTAACCCCTTCCACAGCATTGTTCCAGGTAAATCAACACTTGGAGATAGAATGACCTAAAACACTTTTTCACCAGCCTTCTGTTGCATCCCCCTGCAGGGCAGGGCTGGGTGCATGCAGGCTCTCTGCAGAGATGCTTGACTCTTCCCTGCTCTGTCCACACCACTGGGTGCCTGGGAAAGCTCAGGCCTGCCTTATGAACTTTACCGAATCCATGGTGATTCCTGCAAGTTCCTGCAAGGTCTTCTCACAGATGCAGGAGACTTCACGTTTCCAGGAAGTGGAGAGGATCCCACTGCATCCAGTCTCAGGACATTCTCACACTCTTCTACTAACACATTCACCAGGGAGGGCAGACATAAGTAGTGACCGGTGGAAAGGGGTTATGCATCTGCAAAAGAGATTTTCCTCATCGAGGAGGTAATGTGGATTTTAGATGATTTCAAGAACATATTTAAGGAAGCCAGTTTCCTTCCCCGTGTTCCAACAGTCATCCTGTTTCCAGCCAAACATGGTTTCTCCCATACCTGAACATCCCTCTGCAGCTCCACTCACTCTTGAGATGCAGCCCCAATGCTGACACTACTGAATACATAACCACGGAGTCCTCTTGAGCACGTCTCTGCTCTCTCCTACCTGCAGATGAGGGCTGCCATACCTCACTCAGAGTCTCTCATCAAAGCTACTAATGACAGGAATCACTGGGGGATTCTCACATAGGGCAGTAGTAAGGGCAGGCATTTTAGAGTTACTTTTATGCAGTTATATCTTGGTTATTTTTGAAATTTTCTTTAGATTCCATAAACATACCTTCTTTCCTGTTTCCTTTTCACCTGAAACAGATCTGTGTCCATCTCATTTGAAAGGAAACAAAAGTGCATATTATATTTTTGATGCAGCATCAAGCTCAGAACTCTGTTGACAAGACCCCACACTTGAACTAGAAAATCTTGGACGGGCTCTGGTTACTCCTGTGATCTCTGCCTTGAATTTCTCCTGGAAACATCATGTGATGATCTTGAGGTGGCGATAAAGATCTAAAGTTCTTCTGGGACTTGTCGGGGTAAGACAAAGACTCTGACATCATGTGTCTCTAGTCTCTAGGAATGTTTACTACATCTCCTACTGAGAATAAGGGAGAAGCCAGCAAGCCAGATAAGTAAGGACAGGCGATGCCTTTTGTGACTACAGCCACATTTCTGCACCCAGCAAAGAACATATAAATGAGGAGACCAGCTGAGCTCTCAGTGAAGGCCCTTCCTGCTAAGATGAAGTCCATCTTCCTCAGCCTTTCTCTGCTCCTCCTTCTAGAGAAGAAAGCAGCTGGGATAGAAATCTATGGTGAGTTCAGGGAGCGGCCTGGAAAGAAAGGCACTCAGGGAGAATGTCCATAAGGGTGTTCTGGCAGTGAGAAGAAGCCTCCATGGGGTGATCTTGATGGACTTTGAGTGTTCTCCACCCACACCCACATACCTGTGGGTACGCCAGTGGGTTGATGGGGAATTCTGGGATGAGACTTGCAAGGGAGCTGTACAGATAATGTAACTCAAAGATTCTTGTCATCCATTAGCAGGTGGGACAAAAGGACACTTTGTAGTAAAAACATCCCCACTCGTATTTCTCGGAAATGGCCAGTTTCTCTATGGGCACAAAGAAGAACAGGAAGAGGCCCCTGAAGAAAGCATCTTTGTGCAAACTAAGCACCATGCATATGGCCAGGATGTTGATGCTGACATGGGAGAGGCTCACAGTTCACAGGAACAGACAGGTTTAAAGGAAGACATAGTTTGTGATGAAGAAGATGAGCTTGCCCAACAAAAATCCCAGCCGCAATCTCAGTCCCAAATAAAATCCCAAACTCAAGTGAAATCCCATGCAGTCCAGCTGAAGTCCCAAACAAGCCAGCTAAAGACCACAGGCCAGCTAAAGACCACAGGCCAGCTAAAGACCATAGGGCAGGTGAAATCACAAACCAAGCTGAAATCCCACGGAGCCTCTCTGAAGTCCTACAAAGCACCATTACATCTCCGAGAAGCCATTCCTCGGCAAATCAAGGTCAAAGGATACAGCCTGGATGAAGACCTGGCCCAAGTGCGCCAACAGCGGGCAAAGGCTCACAGGCTCAAGGGAAAGCGTGGCCGGTCCAGGAAAACAGCAGCATTCTTCCCACAGTTTAGACACCGCTCCCAACCCAATCATGGGTACTTTGTGCAGTTTCAAGAGCAGCTACAGGGCAGCGTTCATCACACGAAATCTTTCCACCATAGTCCCGGGATGTGCTACTGTCCAAAAGGAGGGTTAATTTTATACCCAGACACCTTCACTGGACAATACATTCATTAACCTTTCAAGAATGAAGACACATTTAGAGGTAAGTATCTTAGTAACCAGGAGACCCGACTACCCCAGTGTTTCTAGGTGGTGCATGGCGGACTCCCTGGGCCTCCCCGTGGGATGGTAGTGATACCTACAGCAGTGGATGTGCTGAGATGCACACCTTATGGAGTTGAGCTCCAGCTCTTGCTGAATGCAGCAAGCACCTGTCAGAGGCAGAGAAAACTGCCTGGGCTACCACGATGTCTCGAATCCTTCTCCTTAGTATTTTCTACACACGTAGCCATTAGTTCTTCGAACATGCACCACTCATACAATCACGTAAATTTAAGATATATTTTGGTGACTTCTTATGCTTTGGATTCATAAGGCTCAGTTTCTTGCTACATTGCTACAAAGTGTTGTTGGTTTTGTTTCCCACACCAGTTAATGTTCTTCAATGCCATTTAGGGCATACTTATCATTTTGAGACCAGAGACCCACGAGGGTTTTGAAGCATCTTTGTAAATACGGGAGATAAGTGAGCCCATGGACCATCCTTGTTTGTGGTCCAGAGGCTGTGAGAAGTGGCACTTCAGGGTGCTGAGGAATCAGGTACAGGGGTGCTTGCTTTGTCAGGAGAGAAGTCTGAAGCCTGAGGAGCAAAAGGGAGTGCTACATTCATGCTTACATTAAGGGGCACTTTATGTGAAGGGAAGGCAAGCAACAGAACTGTGGGTCCAGTGGTCAGTAGCAGCCAGTATCCCAAATGGCTACAACTCGGACAGACAAGGGACCTGGTCACATGGCTCTGTCTGCTAGCCCTCACTAATCTGTGTTACTATATATGCCCTCTCTCCATAGGAGACACCTGCCCTGTGTGGACTGTGATGTCCTTAAGATGCTGACTGCCCTGTAGTCCTCAACACCATGCATGGATGCCATGACCTGATCACATGTTCCTTCCTGAGACTTTCTAAAGTTGGAGCAACCTCACACAGGTGCTCTCCAGTAAACAGAGCCTTCCTGACATCAGTTGCTTTTTAAAAAAAATGTTTTTTTTCAATTGAAACAGAATACATCACTTTGTCCTGTCCTCTCCCCATCCTCTCCCCAGTACTTTTCTGTCTTCTCTCGTGCCCCATCCAACTCTTAAGTTCATACCGTCTCTGTTTTCGATTACTGTTTTTAAATACGTATATATGTATGTATATTCACAAATATATATACAAATACAACTTACTGAGTCTATGTGTGTTGTTTTTGTGTATGTGTTTTTGGGGATGACTGCTCTGAATTGTACAGCTAATTATGGGGCTCATTCCTAGGAAAGGCCACTTCTTTTCCCGGAGTCACGAGCTGCCTTCGCTCCTTGTTTGGGGAGGGGACCCTGGGATCCTTCCCTTATGTTTCCATGTTATGTTTCCATGTGTACATTGATATTGTCATCATCTTGGTCTTGATTATGAAACAATTTCCAGTTCATACTGTTTAGTCTGTTTACTGCAGGCTTGCTCATTCAATCCTTTTCCTTTTTTTTTTTCCTCCAATGTACCCTGAGCCTTAAAGGCAGGATCTGTGATGTAAAACTGGAGTCAGGAAGCCCCACTGATCTCTGCACTGCTTCCAGTTGTGGTGATTTCTGTCATGGTCTCCATTTGTTTAGAGAGGCTTCTTTAATGAGGAGTGGCAACTACACATCTCTGTGGGTGTAAGCTTAAGATTGAGAGGAATTATATTGGTTTAGCAAAATGGTGGTAATTGATTCTTTTCTATGTTCCATGGCCTCAGTAACCCTGGAGAGTTTCATAAGTTCCCAGAACTAGATCTGATTTCTCTCACATCGAGTGAGTCTTACCCCAACTATACATATGTTGCCCGTTACCAACATGTGAGCTCCACTTACCGCATCTTTACAGATGACAGACGCTGGTTGTTGCTGTGGTTCACGGGTGCTGCAATTAGGTAGGGCTGTTGAGTTGCTTCCTTCCCTTGGCAGCTCTCATTTTCTGGTACCACAGAGGCCAAGACAAAAGGGAAGAGGCCTTCAGGTAAGAGCCAGCTCAAATCATCTGAGTTGCCTCCTAAGTGAGCAGTGTCTCATTCCACTCCCAACCTCTGAGGGGTAACCAAGAGAATATATAACAATGTAAGCTACGTTAATAGCTTGCATTGTTTTGGCAGTGACTTGGAATATACAGGCCAACCATAATTAAAAAGTATTTCATGTCTGGAACTGAGGTTTTTGTTATTATATAGTTCTTATGGTAAGCACTGTCAACCCAAAGTTGCTTATCTTTCTTTAAGCTACATATATATATATATATATATATATATATATATGTGTGTGTGTGTGTGTGTGTGTGTGTGTGTGTGTGTGCGTGTGCGTGTGTGTGTACATATATATGTGTGTATATACACACATATATTTGTATGTATATGTACACACATATGTATGTATACACACACACACACATATATATATAGTATAATTTTAGGTAAATACAAAATAAATTGATTCCTCGAGGTATTAGCAAACATCTTTGGTGTTACTTGTCCCCCATCTCTTCCCCTCAGTCTTTATTGGCCACTCTCCCCATCCCTCCTCTTGACTGGAATCCCCTCCCCATTTCCCACCCCCGACTCCATGTCATCTGTAGGCTTCAAGCCTCTCACCCCATCCGTTATTCTCCACCCATGACTCATTTGTATGTTCCTGGGTTTTGTATTTATTCCATGTTGTATACTTACACCTGAGGATTTGGAGTTAGGAACCACAGATGAGAGAGAACATGCATTGTTTGCCTTTCTTGATCTGGGTTAGCTCACTCAATATAATCTTTTCTAGATCCATCCATTTACCTTCAAATTTTGTGATTTCATTTTTCCTCACAGCAGAATAACTTCCCATTGTGTATATGAAATACATTTTCATTTTCTGTTGGGAATACGCTGGCTCTGAACATGGCAGAGCAAGTCTCTATGGAGTAGAATGCTGGGTCCCATGGGAATATGCCCAGCAGTGGGATAGCTCGGTCATTTGGTAGATTTGTGCTTAATCTTTAGAGGATTCTCTATACTGATTTTCAGAGTGGTGGTGCTGGTTTGAATTCCCACCAACAGTGAATAAAAGTGCTTCTCTCTGCATGTACCTCATAACTACAGCCAAAAACCCAAAAAGGCAAAAAAAAAAAAAAGAAAGAAAGAAAGAGAAAAGAAAAGGAAAAGAAAAAGAAAAGAAAAGAAAGAAGGAAAGAAAGAAAGAAAGGAAGGAAGGAAGAAAGGAAGAAAGAAAGAAAGAAAGAGAGAAAGAAAGAAAGAAAGAAAGAAAGAAAGAAAGAAAGAAAGAAAGAAAGACACAATAGGAAAGAAAAAACTGAACATCTCAATGAGGCCTATGGACAGTTAAGGGGATGGGTGGAGGGTGGCTTATAAATTGCCCATGTTCCAATAAATGACCCCCGCTGATATTCATTCAAGCAAACTTAATCAAGCTCAATGGGTTGAAAATAAAGACAGAAGAAGACATCACATCAGAAGGAAGATTATTGGGAAGAAGAGAAAAAAATTGGAGGAGAATTTGGAAATGCTCAAAGTTCAATACATATTTGAACGAAGTTATTGAAGAAAGAAGCTGGGTGGCAGAGTTCTTCACTTACCCTGTACCCTACCCGAGATCAACCCTACAATCCTTTTCTTAATGAGGTTTCAAAAACAAACATATTAGAACTATCAGAAAAAGATGTATTTCAGAGGACTATGGCAAATGAGTTTGTTATTAGAAATAGTGCTGGTTTAATAAGGTGGAGTTTGTAGATTCTCCTCCAACATCCATGACTTCATTAACACTGAGGAGTTGGCTGGCTTTCTAGTCATGGTTTCCTTCTTGTTGAGTGGACCTTACATTCAGTTAGAGAGCTCTTGGTTCCTGGCAACGCATAGGTATCACTACTGTACTCTTAGGGTTGTTGTGTCCTTCTGGTTGTTGCTACACCCATTAAGCCTCACCAACAAGTCTGCCTAAACCTGAGCCAAACAAGGATGGCACCAGCAGATGGGCCAAAGTGAAAGGGGAAGGCCCATAAGATCTAAATCCTACACAAAGAACCACAGGTAACGGAGGAGTGCAGGCAGCAGGAGAAATAGTTTACTCAGGGAAGAGCACACCAATTAATTATGCAGTGGCAAATGTCAGCCCTGAAAACATACATATGTGTAATATGGTATAGACTGAATAGGTCTTGTGTGTGTGTGTGTGTATGATTAGACATGTATGTATATGTATGTCATGACAATAAATGCAAAAGATCCCATGAATTTGAATTTGAAAGAGATCAAAGAGGGGTATGTAAGAGGATTTGGAGGGAGGAAAGGGAAGAGGCAGATGCTATGATTATGTCATAATCTAAAAATAAAAAACCCTCACCTTGAGAAAAAATAGGAATTTTAAAAGGCTATGCCAAGTGTGATGGTTTATATAGGCTTGGCCCAGGAAGTAGCACTATTTGGAGGTGTGGTATTGTTGGAATAGGTGTGTCACTGTGAGCGTGGGCTGATGACCCTTACCCTAGCTTCCTGGAAGTAAGTCTTCCACTAGCAGCCTTCAGATGAAGAAGTAGAACTCTCAGCTCCTCTTGCACCATGCCTGCCTGGATGCTGCCATGCTCCTGCCTTGATGATAATGGACTGAACCTGTGAACCTATAAGCCAGCTTTAATTAAATGTTGTCCTTTATCAGACTTCCATTAGTCATGGTGTCTGTTCACAGTAGTAAAAAACTAAGACACCAAGTGCTTGGGTCTACTGGTGCCTGCAGGTATACCAGTCTAGAGGAGCCCATCCATCCCTCAGTTCAACTATCTTCTCTTTTCTTTGGTTTATTTTCAGAAGCACACGTCTCATATGCTCACCTATGAAACCTCAACCATTCCAGTAAGATGAGGAGTTCTAATTTCATTTCTATTTCTGTGATAAAACACTTTTATTTTTTAATTTAGGGGAAAAGTTTTCAGCTTGCAGTTTTAGACTAC